ACTGCGGTGCTGCTTTCCGATAAATGCCATATGTGGAGGCTACACGCGTATGCATATAGGCAGGCCACGTGGAAAGAGTTCGAACGGGAGGAAAGAGTGCTCCCTGCGAATCTGGAACGCCGCTCGCTTCGTTTCACTCGGGGTATTTACTTTTAATTAGAGGAGCAGTGAATTATTGACGGGCAGCAGGGAGTACTCTAATTGTTCGGAGCTTCGTATGGGCGACATAAACAATTGAAACAATAGCGCGGACCGATGTAGCCAAGGGTTCGGTTAGCCTAGTGGGGTTTTATCGAGCGGTGCACATCAAAGTTGCACGCGATATACGTTTGGCCCCGCGGGGTAGCTTTAATATTGAAGCAAATTATGTAATCGGTAGCTGCTCCTCCCCCGCGAGAAAGGAAATTGATCGTGTATGCAAATGAAGTGCTATTATCGTAGGCCATAGGACGTACGCCGTAATCTCCCCGCGACTGCCAGTTCTTCGCCTCAATTCTTTGATAAAATATAGACGCCACACATGGCTAACCTATTTTTACGGGCGATCAGTTCTCGCGGCAAACTCTTCGAGCTGGAGGAGGATCCAGAACGCACGAAACGCGTCACTCACGCACGCACGCACCTGTTCGACTCAGAGACACGAACACAATTATTTCAGCGAATCGGCAGATGGACGTGGCCCTCTACATCGGATTGACGGTGGCTTGCGTCGTCATCGGCGGGCTGGCGTTCTTCCTCGCCAGGTTGCTCAGGCGCAAGGGACGCGACCACTCCCTCTACTCGATGGCTCGAAACGGTAAGGATCCCTGCGTCCCTCGCGCGTCCTTTGTTGCGTCTGCCGCTGCAGCCAGGATCTGATCGGGCAGGCAAATGAGTTCGCTAGTCGTTGTCATTGAAAACGTTTCAGAGTTCCAGCCGGAATTCTTTCCCGACCAGGACAAAAAGTTGAGCCTGCAGCCGGATGTGACGGCCACCAGCGTGCCGGCCTGCTACGAGTATCCCTTCGATCCGAAACTCTCGATGTCCCGGTCCCTCTCGGAGCACCATTATGACGTTCCGCATCTCTCGATTGGTCCAGCGCAACCCTCTCCCATGTCTCCCACCCCGAGCACGTCCACTCAAGAATCCTGCAGCGAGAAGCAGATCCATTCCGACAGTGAGAATAGCGTGGTTAGCGGCTCCTCCTATCCCAGCTCCGACTCGACGTACAACGTCGCGTCGGAGAGCGTCCGGTTGCCAAAACTCGAGAGTGGGAACGTCGCTCGGGCGGCGGTGAACGCGCGCGGTGCGCTTCTCGTTCTCCCGGACGCCGGGATCTCCATGTCCGTTCCCGAGGGCGCGGTGCCGAAGCCGCTGAGGGAGGAACTCTACCTGGCTGTCCTGGACGAGGATCGCTTCAGGCCCCGATTGCCCGGTTAGTCGATCCACTCCGTTGCTCCTGCGGGAAATTAAAGGGACGATCCTTGAAGAATGGCCTTTTTTCGGTTTGTCCTTGCAGATGGCATCACGCAGCTCTCGGCAGTTGTCACGTGCGGACCTTCTTCGGCATCCTTCAACAAGCCAGTCATCCTGCAATTCGAACACTGCGCCATGCTGCATCCCGGCGCCTGGGAACTGAGCGTCTGGGCCTCCGATATCGAGGACTCGGAGGCTGACGGGAATCCTTCTGGCAAGGAGCAGCTCGTCTGCTGGACCCGCGTCCTGACGCTGGGCAGCGAAACGATAAACACGCCACTCTTCACGCAGCTCGATCACGCGGAGGCCTTCATCGTGACCGAGCAGCTTCGCGGCTACGTCCTGGCCGGACAGAGCTGCGAGAACTCGATGGCGACGAAACGCTTGAAGCTCGCGATATTCGCCAGTCATCCTGGCCAGTGCTGCGGATGCGTGCGGGTCTACGCCGTCGAGGACACGAAGGCTGCGACCAAGGTGATCGTCGACAGGGAATCTCTGATCCGAGGGTACCTGCTGGACAAGCCGAGAACACTGCTCTACCAGGACAACGGGGAGCCTCTTCGTATAAGTCTGGAGGAAGTCGGGAACGAGTGGCAAAGTAAATCTCCCAGCGAGCACCAGGAGATGTCGTTCCGCGACGTCTGGAACTCCCAGGGAAACGCTCGTCACGTGAGCTTCGCTCTGGACACTGGATTCGGTCCATCCAGTACTCGGAGCTACAAGCTGCAGATCTGCCAGGGCACCTCGGACACTCGTCAGGTCTTTCGGATCGTCTACGACGGTGCGAAGCAGCTCGTATCTTCCGGAAGCGTGACGCGACCCCTCAGGGAAGTGACCGTAGTGAGCAGCGGCCACGCGAACAACGTTACCACGGATTCAGCGACTCTACGTCCATTCAGATTCACGAGGTCTCTCAGGAAGCAACTTTGCCAGTGCCTCGACCCGCCGAATGCTCTCGGAAACGACTGGAGAATGCTAGCACAGAGGCTCCAGGTTGACAGGTCAGTATCCGCTCCACGGAAGATTCGAACTTCCTTTTTCTCTCTTTTCTCCTCTCTCTCTCTCTCTCTCACGCCCTACGGATCCCTTGACCTAGATCGAATACACAGATTTCTCTCTCTCTCTCTCTCTCTCTCTCTCTCTCTCGCTCTCTCTCTCTTTGGGATTCACCTCGATTCACAGTCAACTATGTAGTCGAGTCGGAACATTGGTGTCCCATTCGAGGGACTTTTGTTTGTTATAACCCGTAAGGAGGTGGCCCCTCAAACACACACTGATGTCGCGGCTGAGCTACAGATGCGATATCGCATGTTGCAGGTACATAAACTACTTTGCAACTAAAGCCAGCCCCACCGAGCATATTCTCGATCTCTGGGAGGCAAGGCATCGGGAACCCACCGCCGTCACGGATCTCCTGAATCATCTGCGAGTGATGGGGAGGACGGATGCTGCGACCATCCTGGAGGCTCAACTGGGTCCCTGGCTGTGAATAATCCCGACGACTCTGTGAGTGTGTTTTCGCGTTATGGGGGAATCAAGGGAAGAATCAAAGATACGGGAGAGGAACAGTATAAAAGTGAAACACTGCCTTAACTGTGCGCGATGCGATACGATGAGATACGACGAGACGCGACGGGAGGCGACGGGAGGCGACGGGAGGCGACGGGAGGCGCGTGTCGCACCTCCTTCTGTATATAGTTCTAGAGTTGGCATAAAGAGTAAAAAAAAAAGTATAAAGCAAAAAGTATAAAAATAAAGAGTAAAGTAAGTGGGAGTGTAATCGCAAAGGGACGACCAGAGAGTCGGAGCGAGTCCAGCCTATCGATTCTTCGGTCGTCCTTTGGCTCGAACACGACGCAGCATCAGATAGAATCGTAGGGAGAATCAAAAGAACACGGGAGAAGATTACAATGCGGTTGTGTCTTGTGTGCATGTGACTGGCAAGTATTGCGGATGCATTAGCGAGCATGTATATAGATACGCCATTCACAAAATTACATATAGAGAAAGAAAGAATGAGAGGCACACATAGAAAAAAAAAAAAAAAAAAAAACAGTTAGAAGGACATGTGGATGTATAGATATACATATATGGATATATGAATACATGGATACATGAGTATAAATATATATTTATATACTGAGCTACGCAAGTCTCTAACGCACCGCGCACATTTGACAGCCGCGACGCGATCGCTTCGGTCCAGCATCGTTCGACTCTCGTCGAGCAGCCTGAGTGGATTGAACTTCTTGAATGCCCAACTGAAAATGTTGGCGAGAGGTGCTGTCATGATGCGTCAGCGCCCTGACACCTGTCAAATTTCTCGGATGCGTTCGGACGCGATGGTTCTGTATAGATAAAGGCAAGATGTTATTTACCAGAAAACGAAGAATCGAAAAAAATGAAGCATTGTAAGAGCGAATTCTCGATTTGTTATGGAAACGTGAGATATTATTGGTTTTAAGAATCGTGCCAAAATTATTCGTTCAGTTGCTCGTTCTTTCAACAGCCGGAGGTATTTTACATTTCCAATGTTTAGATTAATTCCTTTTCTACATTGACAATACGCGGTTAACATTCGTACGTGGTCGAATGCGTTTTAGGAGTTTATACCATTTGGTAATGTCATTGCATATGTACCATATTAATTTAAACGACACAGTTTATTTAGAAGATTGTATATTTGTTACTTTCGACGAATAAAATATTCTTGTATACCTACCCAAGTGATTTTTCCTCATGTATGGACCACCATCACCATCGCTTCCCATATCCACTGCGTGTCCATTATTATCGTAGGATCGGATTTCCTCAGGATCTTCGAATCTTCCCTCCCGTAACCTCTCGCACCCTAATCTGTCTCCGATGCGACGAGACGACGACAATGCCGCAAAACGCTTCGCAATTTCCAAGTGTCGACAGCACTTGGTTTCGCAAAAATATACATTTTATTGACAGCCGTAAAATCCCCGTCCCGTTATCCTGTTCCATCCGCCGTTTCTTCCTTTTCCTTTGACGTAGCAATAAAGGCCACGAGAAATAAATAAAATGGTGACGTAGCTTCGCGGTGGCGCGTCGAGTTTCTCGGCTGCTGGAAGTCGCTGCGTTGCGTAAACGTAACGGAATGTGCACGAGTGTTTTTCAAGTGTTTCAGCCTGTGTTACCGTTGAGAAGGCTAAGTGCCATAAAAATAGCTCCCTTCGACTGGCATGAGAAGAGGACAGCGAGTGTGTGAAGCGCAGAGTTAAGGACCGAAGTCCTTTGATGGCAAGGAAAGACTATTTCTCGTTGAATTGCGTAGTGGATCGTTCCGAGCCACCCTCCGAGTCAGAGTCAAAGTCAAAGAGCAGAGAGAGAGAGAGAGAGAGAGAGAGAGAGAGAGAGAGAGAGAGCAAGTGGAATTTTCCAGTTGGTACTTTGTCATCCACGATACGATGAAATCCTTTTTGCGCGACATCGCATTGTTTAACGTTTGATTGACATTGATCGAGGGCTCCCTTGGCGCCATTGACGTACCTACCGGGCTACCGAGGAGAGTGTCGTCGACATCTTGACAAAGCTCCCGTTGCTCTTTGACGTTCGGTTGCCGCGCTAAACGCCCTGCGAGTCGCATTGTCCTCTCTGCTACGTGCACCAGTGCACCAGTGCACGATGCATCCCTGGAGAGTCTCGGCGGGACTCGCTAAATGGGAGAATGGTGGGAGTCCCATTAGTGGCAAATGCCATGGGTTATACGGGTACGGGTCATACCGCTAGCCGGGTTTAGCCGATTACCTCGGCCTCTCTCTCTCTCTCTCTCGCTCTCTCTCTCGCTCTCTGGTCTTTACGTTCGCCACGTGCTCTCTGTTCCACTTCTCCGGCACCTTGCTACCTCGGAATCAGTTTGGTTCCGCGATAACTCCTTCGCTGTCTTTGATTGGAACCCAAGTATCTGTCTTTGACCCTTGCAGCTCATCTGCGAGAATTCTCCAAGAAAGCCTCGTGGAGTCTGGCAACGTCTACCTGCTTGTCGAGAAGAGAAGTGTGACGCGGCTGCTAATTTTAGAGCGCGCACTCCGCTGTCCTCTAATTAAAGGAATTTGTCATCCGAGTAAAAAAGTCTCAGAGCCGCAGGGCGCCCGTTGATTGGTATCGTAATTGGTGCGATTGTCTCGTGGCCCAATTAATTTAATTACATGTAATTGCATATCAAGCTTTTTTCGGTTGGTCTTTTACCCCCCCCCCCCGCGCTGCCCTAACGAAAGGAAGAGTAATCGAGAGAAAAATAGATAGAAAGAGACACGACACGCAAAGGACAAACGCTGGAGACGTTTATTGCCGAGAATTCTAAGTTTACGTCCTGGTCGGGTTGGTCGGCTGGGCGCGGAGTGTAGTCTATGTAGTCTATGTAGTCTATGTAAATGGCAGAGACCTCGGAAGCTCCTTAAACGCAGTGGCGATATTGTTGCGGCGCTCTCGGGGAACATCGCGACGCCTGTCCTCTTAATGCTATGCAAATCTCAGCTAGGTTCCAAAGTTTGTTATAACAGGCTGCGCGAGTTTTGAGGGAGAAAGAGAGAAGGGAGGAAAGTACGTGCTGCGATCTTCAGAAAATAGATGGTTGCGGTGACGCTGGGAGAATCGCGAGGAATGAGGAATCGAAAAGGAAAGACACGTGGGCTGGCAGCGATCGTCGCTGCGCGTCGACATCCACCGGAAGTCCTGTGCCTGCGTGGACGCTCAGCGTCGGGCCGTGCTGGCCTTGCAGTACCCCGTACGTTGCGTAATCGCAGGCCCAAGTGCTCTCGGTCGGTAGACATCACGGCTCCATCAATTACGCAGCATCACGTTCAAGCGTCTCTATCCAGATTGGAGGCACGCGTCTTCTCCAGAATTCGACGGGTCCATGGGCTGATCACTGATCGGCAGCCTATTCGACCACAGAGGAGCACGGAAATGGAAGCAACCCTTAATTATCAGTACACATAGTATCTTCCTCTTGCTCGCTCCCTACAGCCCTTTCTATCAGGATCCCCGATACGTGCGACCCGCAGCCACCCCAACGTACCAAACGCCCCAGCCGACTGAGCGCTCGAAGCTTCGAAGCGACAGCCCGCGCTCACGCGCCAGAATCAACCAACCCTCCAATTCCAATTTTACTAGGCGGCAGTAGACAGAGATGAACGGAGGACGCCGACTTCCAAATGGATATTAATAGTTCTGCTTGGTACACCCCGTGATCAGCGCTGATTACGCTGTTACAGCTGTTATGCTTGATTAAGGCTCGAGCGCAGCCCTACAGGCCCTACAAGCCCTACAAGCCCTGCTGGTCCTGCTGGCTCCATGGGCCTGGTCGGCCTGGTCGGCCTCGTCGGCCTGGTCGGCCTCGTCGGCCTCGTCGGCCTCGTCGACGGAGACCATGTTCCACTTGTATACACAATCGCTTGGGAATCTCCACGCTGACGTGGGACACTCTCCTACTCCCTATCGGACACCCTGAAAACGCGCCTTTATCAATCTCTCCGATCACGAGTCTTCGAGATTTCTCAGAGTTCCTTCCTAACACTTGTATTCCGCGTTCGTGGAAGCCGGCAACGGAAAGAAAACTGGTTTTCATGTCGCGATGGCTGGACGTCCTGCAGGTTGGCAGATCGTTGGAAAAGGTCTCGCGGAGTGGCAGCCATTCCAAAGGTAACCACCGCTCTAATGCGTGTACCTTGCTAATCGCTAATCGCCAATGGCTAATCACCGTAATGACCGAAGGAACGTTCGACTCCCGTTCCCACCGGTCGTCGATATCTAAAGGCTCGTTTTCATTGTCAGCAGCCGCTTCCTTTGTGGCTTGTTCGGAGCATCAGTGGGCGATTCGGCGCAATTAGCCAGTAATGGGGCCAATAAAAATATCGTTAATCCTCACAAGCAGCTCGCGACAATTGCCGCAGGAAGTAATAAATGTCGAGCAATTCCGAGGCAGCCGCGTGCGCCGTGGAGCGGAGTCTCGGTTTGCGTTGCAGGTCGAAGGTGTCTTGAATGTTGCGATTAATGGGGGAACAAAGAAAAAAGAAAAAAGAAAAAAGAAAAAAGAAAATAAATTGGCCCAAGTCACAAATAAGTAATGACGAGTCTAACGACTGAGAAAGATGTGACTCGTATGACAGCAGGAATCATTCCCGGAAGGGAAAGTAGGTGCCGGGCGACATATCGCTCGTGGCGTCTTCTTTGTAAGCTATCCTTAGCAATAATGTCAGAGCACACCGTTGTAAGAGCAGCGAGATATAGGAGCATCGCGGTCACATGGTCACATGCGTACCGCCATCTTCTATTTACTCGGCGATTAGGCGTGGGTGTGGAGCCAGTGAAAGACATGCTCGAGGGTCCACTGATCTCCAGCACCTTTAAAATGCCGATGTTAATCGCCGCGTAAGCTCGTTAGTCTCCTTTTCCGTTGGTGGATCATTTCTGGATCCTGCCTGTTGAAGCTGTCGTCTCCGCGTGTCCGCCCGCGAAGATCAGCTCCAACTATCAGATCCGCTGCCCTGTGCGACCCAGCGTTTCGTCTTGGTGGGATCTCGGGGTAAATTAAATTTGTCCCCAATTCAGTTGTTTCCATTCCCTGGGGCTCTGCAACGCCTTGAGTGCCAATTTAGCGGCATCTGGCAGCGGTCTGTTTTTCTTTAAGGGTATTGGAGGAGCCCCTTCGCTCTTTACTCTTGGTTCCTTCAGTCCTCATCCCTTAGCACCACCTCTCTCTCTCTCTCTCTCTCTCTCTCTCTCTCTCCCTCTCTCTCTCTCTCTCTATTCACTATCCCTCGCGCTTCCCCTTCACTTCCTAAGTGACACAAAGGTAAACACTTCTACGAGTTCCTCCTTCTCCTTCTTCTCCTTTCTGCTCGCTCCGCTACTACGAGCTGGCACATTCTCGCAATCAGTCCCAATCGTTTGCATTCGGCTGACTGACTGGAGGACTCGGCTTCTTCATTTCTACGCTATTATCGATATTCTATAAAATTCTCTTGCGCCATTAAGCACTCGTGTTATCAGGAAGAAAGAGAATTAGCCTGATGGGGCAAGTGAGAGAGAGAGAGAGAGAGAGAGAGAGAGAGAGAGAGAGAGAGAGAGAGAGAGAGAGAGTGGGACACTTCTTTCCATTGGAAAGTGTAAATTGCGAAATGCCACTTGAAGGCACGTTTCGACGTCGACGTCGTCGGCGCCGTGGAAATGTCGTAAAGTGGGCTTCAGAGGAAAGCCATGTACCTAACCTGCGAGCCATTTGCATTATTGAAAATTTATGACTGCACCTCCAGTCTCCACTCTCCGTACGGAAATGTATTATGCATTATCTTTCCGGCACATAGATCACATTAGCCAAAGTTGCGAATGCGTATGTTCTCGAGTGGCCACGATTTTCAGAGGATAGCCTGGCGAGCGTCCCGACGACGGACGTCGAGTAAAGTAGGTTTCACGCCGCAAGTGAACGAGAGGGAGAGGGAGAGGGGGAAGGGGGAGGGGGG